GAGCGGGGCCTCACCGGGGGTCCTCGAAGCGCACGAAGGCGAAGGGCACGAGGCCGTGCCGGTTCTTGAGCTCGATCTCGCGGATGCGGCCGTACTTGTAGAACAGGTCCTCCAGGTCCTTCTCGCGCACGTCGGTCGGAAGGTTCCCCACGTAGATGCGCCCGTCTCCCTCGCCGCCGCGCTCGTCCGCCCAGCCCGACATCCGCACCGCCCGACGCCGCGGGCCCGCCGCAGCCCACGTCGCCGCCGCCGCCTCAGCCGGGGTCCCCCCGCAGCGTCCCCGCGGGCTCGGAGGCGCTCAGCCGCACTGCATTGTGGGAACGGCGGAGCGGAAGCGAAGGGGTCGACGGAGGCAAAAAGAATCGTCTTAAAGGGGACGCGCTGCGATGACCGCGCGTGCGCGCAGGCCGGCGCCCCCTGTAGGCGCGTGCGGGCTCGAGGGCGACTAGAGAGAGAGATTGGAGTCCCGTGAATTGGGTTCGATTCCCAGAATTCCTTGAAAGCAATTCACTCGCCTAATTAGTGCACTTGGGCAAGTGACTCAGGCTTCCTAGGCCTCAGTTTTCTGCCTCTGTAGCGCCGCCTGCCTCACAGGCTTTTGTGAGCATTCCCTGTGGCGACGCGGACAGCGGTCGGAAGGGACCCCGCGGACTGTCACTCTGCTTGCGGGGCGCCGGAGGGAGGGAGCCAGGTCCGGGCCGCAGGCCGACCACGCTGCGGTCTGAAGGAGTCCCGGACGGTGGGCTGGGTGGGGCTGTCGCGGCCCTCAGACTCAGGTCAGTAGCCCTCTGGGTGACCCTGCCCCCATTTAACACTTGCTTACAACTGAGGTCTAAGAACTGACGGGGAACTAAAGTGGGTGTGAGAGCTGAGATGGCCTCCGGAGCTTGGGCTGTGGCATTCAAGGGAGACACGGAGAGAGTGAAAGAGTCTTAAGTATCTCAGCTGTCGTTATAGAGTGCTTTAATCCTCACCGGGGATGGAGGGATTCCAGTGTTACAGGTGAGAAAACTGAGGGGCTCAGGATTAGAAGCCGAAGCCGTGCCCCCAACCTGTGGGCCGAGCCTTTCAGGAGCTCGGGTAGACACTCACCTCGGCACTTTTTCACATTTACTTCCCATAGTTCAGGGCACTGAACGTGGGGACGCTCCAGAAATAGAGGCCTTGCATCACAAGAGTCTTGATCGAAAAAGAGCTCTCATATTAAAAACGAAACCTCTGTGGATTGATGCATAATGGGCAGATAGGCAAAAGCAAACACAGCGGAATGTTAACTGTGGAATCTAGACGGTGGGTGCGTTCAGTCTGTTCAGTGCACCATTCTTTAAACCTTTTTGTATGTCTGGAAATTTGCATAATAAATGAGGCAGGTATGAAACCTGTTAAAAACAAACTCTGGTGTTCGTGTTCTGCCCCGGTCGCCAAAAAAACCAAAACCAAAAAAACCCAACTCTGTTAATGTTAGCAATGAATAGCAACGGAATAAAACCAAACATTTAGGGGCGCCTGGGTGGCTTAGTTGGTTAAGTGTCCGTCTTTGGCTCAGGTCATGATCTCACAGTTGGTGATTTCCTGCAAGCATCAGACTATTTGCTTTCAGCACAGAGCCTGCTTAAGATCCTCTATCCTCTGACTTTCTCTCTGCCCTTACCCCACTCTCTCTCAAAAATAAACATTAAAAAAAATTTAATATGAAGGTACAGTAGTTGATTTGTAGTTATACCACCTCTGAGCCTTTTAAAATCAAAACAGAAATTAGGCACTCACGCATAACTACTGAGTGTATATCCTTTTTGAAAGGCAGATTGTGATGGTATACATCAGTCCCTGATAATATACATATACCTTTTGGTCCAGTAATGTCACTTGTAGGATTTTATCATCAGGAAATATGAAAATGTTACAGTAAATTATGTTCATTGCATTTTGTGCAGTTAAAAAAATGGAATGCTTGATAATAAGGGAGTGGTCCAACATAATAATATTGAATGTTACACAATTTTTAAATGATATTTTGAAGGATGCTAAGGTCATGCTAATTTAGTTATAATTAAAATGAATTTAAAATGGTGTTTAGGGGCGTCTGGGTGGCTCAGTCAGTTAAGCACCCAACTCTTGATTTCGGCTCAGGTCATGATCTCATAGTTCGGGAGTTTGAGCCCCACATCAGGCTCTGCACTGACGGTGCAGAGCCTGCTTGGGATTCTCTCTCTCGTTCTCTCTCTGCCCCTCCCCTGCTTGCACTCTCTCTCTCAAAATAAATTTTATTTTAAAAAATAAATAAAATGGTGTTTAATATGTACATTATACACATGTAAATATATATTCTCAAGGAATCTATTAAACTGGTTGACACCAGTTGTTTCTAAAGAATGCAATTGTGGGCATTTTCACTTTAGACCTTACACATTTCTGTAAAGCTGAATATAGTTACTGCAACTCTGTTTCATTTTTATATTCTGGGAAAAAAA